ATTTGCTACAGTTCTGTTGCATACACTGACGGTAAACTCAACGCATTAATAAATAAGGTCAGAACATGTTTCGAAATTGCGCCATGAATGAGATCTTTAAGTAAAATTCCAAGATAAACTATTTCCGAAAGACAGACTAGTACTCAAGATCCTACCAGCCATCGTCTTGCCTCCAATGCTATTGTTCCGTCTAGAACCCTGGCCAGGAAAGACGAGTTGCGCCGGATATCAGTCCTGTCTCGTCCATCTAAGTCCCGGAAGTGATAACTTTCATTATTGTAAGCTGGCCTTTCAGTTCCACGCGGGTACACTGGCGAGTTATTCCTTCCAGCAAAAGTATTATCCAAGGAGTGACTCCCAAGGATTTCTCTTAGGGCATATTTATCACCCATTTTATGTCAACATTTGAATATTAAAGCATTTAAAAACATCGCATTCAGTTCAAAATTCGTTCAAAGAATACAGAAAACTAATCAATGAAATTCAATTTCCAAACATTGCATTCGGTATTCCAAAATTCATTCAAAGAATCCAGATTATTAATCAATAAAAAGACAGGTATCCAAATACATTAAAGAGGAAGTAATTAATCCAATTTGTAATCTTGTAATCCGAGACAAATACGTTTCATTAATAGTCTACAACTACAGAAACAACTCCGCAGTGGGCATTTTAAATGCTTTATTGTTCACGGTTCTAGGGGTATATTACGTGAACATACTTTTAAAGACATGTGTGATAATTATACACCACAATACAATCTATCGTGAATTCCCTATAGACTATAGATATGACTATTATACATATATAGAACTGTACATGTTTAAAATGAATTAGGGCAAGACTTTGTAATATTTATTGTAAAATTCTTAGCAAATTTTATTTTAGGAATTCACTACGTTTTCGTTCCAAATGGTCCAAGTTTATAATTGATATACAAGAATGACGTACATGTAATGATGGAAAACTTGGAGGCGCTGATTCGGTATTAACTGCCAAAAAGTGATATCACCTATTCGAATAGGTGATATCACTCATTTGAATAAGTGACATCACCAAAACAAAAACTGAATAGGTGATATCACTTTTTGGCAGTAAATACCAAATTGGCGCTTCATGGAAGACTGGTTCCTAGTAGTAAGCCAAATCTTATTATTGAGATTACATGTTTTGTTATAGGTTATGTCTGTTTAAAACATATCAGGTTTGTTAATGTGCCATTTCTACGGATGATAAAGCGGTATGAAAACAAATTGTGAGCATTACTTCGCTAAATATAAAAAAAAACCTTAAGCCTTGTTACTCAAAAATTTCGCAAAATAAGCGTTAACGTAAAATCAAACCTAGTATGTTAATTACTGAACTTTGTGGTCTACAACAACAATAAACCCGACTACTTCCGCATTCTTCGCGTCTCAAATTTCAACAAAACAGTCCGAATCGTCACTCCTTTAAAGATTATATTTAGCACCTACGGAATAAACAATTCAATGGGAAAATACTACATTTCGGTAACGTATTGTCATTAAAGATAAAATGCATCGTGCATTGAAATCTCACACCAAGTGATAGCAATCATTTATGAATTATTTCATGATCTTAATTATGACACAGTGAATATTCCAGTATTTATTTTGCTTCTTTCTTTTATGCAACAAATGGTTTCCCAATCAAAAAAAAAAGTTATTATTCACTGATTAAGGTCAGTTCTTCTGAAATAACTTTTTTTTTAAAATTCCAGTTCAAAAACAGAAGAGATATAAATGTATAATTAACTTTTTTGAATTATTTGGATTTTTCATTTAAATTTGGAGATGGGTGAACATGACGAGAGATAAGCCCGTAGCGCGACAAGCATGAAGGTGAGAAATTAAATCTCAATTTTATCAAAATTTTCCTTAATAGTTCATCTAAAATTAAAGTATACTTTATGTAAAATCTCTACAACTTGCACAAATCTCATGAAAATTGAAGTTATTTGCCTATGAAATATTATACACACACGAAAGAGGACAAAACGAGTCATTTTTTCACACTATCACACTATTTTTCGTGATGAGTGGGTCTCCTCTCCATTTTTTTGAAAGGTAATCCTCAAACTTTGCATAAAAACATACATATTTTGGTTTCCAAAATTATGGAACAATGACCCATTATACCTTAAAAATATAAGTTTATGACATAACTTTCGTATCTTTTCGAGAGATACTTGAAGTCCCTTAAAGGTACTTGGACACAGATTTTTCTCTATAATATTACGACTTATATAATTATTTTAATAGCATTTCACACAAAAATTAATTAAAAATCTTACTTCATTTAAAAGTTAAAATTTTAAATTTTTTGGCGGGTTTAATAACTTAAATGAAATAAGATTTTTAATTAATTTTTGTGTGAAATGCTATCAAAATATATAATTCATGATATTATGCAGAAAATATTAACTTCAAATCTGTGTCATAGTATGGGCAGCGGAAAGGGCAAAAATTACCATAATGAGAAAACAAACAATTATTTTAATTTCAATGATCATAAAAACTTAACAAATGATATACAATGCATAATCAACAGACCTTTTCGCAGAACAAGTATACATTAAAGGATAACAAACGAACAAGTACGTAACAAACATACATGAATGCAAAACCAACGATCATCTTTGCAGTACAAACGTACATTTATACACGACAAACGAAAAAAACTTAACCAACGTGCACGCGGTAAATCTAGTCTTCCCGACTCCCGGCTCCCGACGGTATCGGATTTTTTTTAAATTTCTTTTTTGTCGGTGCACAGAAACTCTTCAAACTTCTCAGGCACATTTTCTTTTTAAATGAATTCAATAATATGTAAAAACTTAAACAAATTTGCGTATTTATTACTGAATCAGCAGTATCACCTTCAAAAAGCGGTAAATGTAGTACTCCGTTCTAATTATGAAAACCAAAAACGGACATCGATACAGAGAGACGTAAGTGTCGTAGATAGTAAAGGTGCATGGGCACAGATTTGAAGTTAATATTTTCTGTATAATATTACGACATGTATATTTTAATAGCATTTCACACAAAAAATATATTAAAAATCTTATTTCATCTAAAAGTTATTAAAACTTCAAATTTTTAGACGGGTTTGATTGACACATCCTTGCACTCTCACAAATTTTAATTTTATTCTTCATACTTAGGAAAAGTGGCAATCTTGTTTCAATAACTTTAAGACGAAATAAATTAACTTCAAATCTGTGTCCATGTATCTTTTATATTGATACTGAGAAGATATTTCTTCTCAAAAAGATTGAATTAGTATTTCAGTGAAAATTGGTGGTGTTAATAAAAAAATGAACGATTAAATTCTATAAAAATTCATAACATCAAAATGATTTGATTTCAAAAAAGATTTTTATCAAATTCTTCATAAAGATAGCTAAATCTAACATTGTACTTATGGTAAAATAATGCAAAATGAAAGTACTGCATTATTATACATTGACGTAGCATGTTTTTAAAAGGAGGGGGTAACCAAAGAAAAAAATTCAATCTAGCTGAAAAAAAGATTTTTAAAACTTAACAAGCAATAACAAAAAGGAAATTTAAATGATATAGCCCAAACTCGAAAATCTCGCGTGTGTGTGTGGGGGGGGGGGGGGAGGGGGGGTGTTAGGTTCAACTTCTTTCAGTGCCAATTTTTTTCCTTATATACATGTACTACATAACCCTTTTTTGACCTTACTCTTAAAATTGGGAATTGTTGCTACGTACCTGTCATATGATATGCCACTGTAATGTAAAGTTATCATAATAGATTCTTGTAATATTTAAAGAATTGGGGAAAACCAACTTATGTAACAAGAACAACAAAAATTGACGAAACGGCCATCAGGAGAATGAGATATCTTTCTACATTTTATGTAAATTCTTTTCTTTCATTTTAAATTTTTAAGATGAATTAACACCCCCCCCCCCCAAAAAAAGTATAAAATTTAAGGGGGATCCGAGGTAGAACCACGTCCATGTTGTATAGCCTGGGAACATAAACATAATGTGGCAAAGAGTTCTATACAAAAAAAATGTGTGGGGGAATTTCTATGCATAAAAATTATCTAGCATGTAAATGAGGGTTTTCATTTATTAAAAAATATAAACTGTACCTCAGTTTGTTGTTTTTAATCGCGATTTTTACGAAAATATTTGTGTCCCTTTTTCAGTGGTTTTCGCATTTATAGCTGAGTACTAGATTTACCGCTTTTGGCAGATGATACTGCTGATTCAGTAATAAATACGCAAATTTGTTAAAGTTTTTATATTTTAAAGAATTTTTTTAAACCTAGAAATTTGCCTGAGAAGTGTGAAGACTTTCTGTGCGCCGACAAAAAAGAAATCGGCAAGAAAAAAAACGGGACCGTCGGGAGCCGGGAGTCGGGAAGACTAGATTTACCGCGTGCACGTTGGTTAAGTTTTTTTCGTTTGTCGTGTTTTTATGTACGTTTGTACTGCAAAGATGGTCGTTGGTTTTGCATTCATTAATGTATATTTGTTCTGCGGAAAGGTCTGTTGATTATGCATTTTTTATATAAAAGAATAAATGTTAACGAAGAATTTTCCTCAGAACTTTTTGTTTCTCGTGATTTCATAAAAATCAATGATGAGAACTTTATATACTAAATCCAAAATTTGAATATGATTTTTTATATGTCTGAAGCTTGTGGGTTTTTTGCACGCTAAGTTCACCCATCTCCTTGTCAGTTAAATTTTTCACAGCATATTTAGTTAGATTTATACATATTATATGCTAATGAAATAAAATCAATATAAGTAGCTTGTTAGGTTGTAAATATACCGATAAATCTGCTCTGCATATTCTGGAATGTCTCTAAATTCGAACTTCTTAATAAACCAAAATTATTAATAACAATTCAGTGTTCATACCCTTTAAATAAGCTGACATTTTCTTTTCAGCACTCTGTTTGCAATATGCGTGTAATAAAAGAGTAACACAAATTTGATTTTACAGTGTTTAATCGGTGCTCTATTTGTTATTTAATTCTCTGCATGATATGAGTTTTCTGTAGACTAAGAGGGTGGTCCCTCTCTCTGTGACCTTGTCTCCTCTCCTTACAATGTCTGATCAGTCTGTGTCCCTCACTGATCCCCAATCTGTCCAACACTTGATTGGCTATATCTGGAATCAGCGGTTGTAACAGAATTGAGCACACTCGCATTGTCTCCATGTTCAGATGTAGCACACAGCGTACATGGCTCTCACTATCTGGGTCCTTACACAGTCGCCATGGCTCGTGGTCATTAAACAGTTTATTACTCCATCGGAGGTATTCAAAAATGGCTTCCGATACTTTGTGACACAATAAGCCCTTGTAATGATAATTACAAATCTCTGAAACAAACAAAAATTCATACATATATGAAAACAAAGTACAAGAAAAAAACCACTATCATCTAGATAAGGAACTTTTGAAAATGCCCCTTCAATTTTTTTTCTCATATTGGACCTTCTTCATAAATCACTGAATATAATTAAACTAAAACATACTTTAATGTTGAAAATCTGAAGTGCAAAGAAAAAGAAAAAGCAAAGTTTAAATACCTATTAAATTTGGTAAGCTATTAAACATGTTTCTTTCTTCTTCTGTGAAGTATGTCAGGAAAGCCTCTTCATTAAAGGAGGGGAAGATAGTCTGTTTGTTTATAGATGTTGACGAAGTTCTGGACAGGAGATTTAGATATGTGTTCACAATCTCAGCATTTATAATGTCTTTTGCAACATCATCATTATAATCTACAACAAAAACAATATCATTACAGTCTACAACAAAATTAATATCAATTGCCTATAAAAAAGAGTAATAAATATTTATAACCTTAAGATTCTGAATCTTTCGTCTTCAAAGAGCTAAATGTATCTACTCATGAGATACTCAGGTGCCATTGTTCAATAGTAATGAATTGATGACTGCAAGGGTAATGTTACAATCAACATTGTTCATCTCCATAATTGCAACATTACAATGTCATAAAATTGTAAAATTTTGCAACTGATTGACACAAGATGTTACATTAATTACACTTACTACAATTAGTAAACACTGTCCCAGTTCTGAGCAGGAAGTATCGGAATCCTGCCTCAGTCAATCTGTCCATACGCTCCTCTGGATCCACCACATTGCCCCTGCTTTTTGACATCTGAACAAGATGTTTTGAATAAGAGTACCATGAATTATCATTATACTGTTTTGGTGTATTTTTAAAATAATTACATGTATAGCAATGACTTGCAATGGAATGGTATGGAAAATACATTCATGTATTTCAAAAGACTATACAAGTGTGAAAGTAGAAATCATGGAACAAACATATTGAACTTATCTCTCTTAATGTAGAAATATATTTTAGATAAGTCACACATATGTATCTCAATGCTAATGTATTTAAAACTTTTTTAGGCCTTTCAATTTAAATTTTTGAATTTCATCCTAATTTACTGAAAAACTGGAAAGGGTGAATGGGTTTGATATATTACTCTTCAAAGTATCTACATATACTACAAAAATTTCAAACTGTAAATACCAATATGGATAGATTTGATTGTTTACTCTTTAAATATCTGCTGATGATTCTATATACCTTGTACCCATCAACAGTCCAGTGGGCATGACAAACAATCTGTTTGGGTAACTCTAAATCTGCAGCTAACAAGAAAGCTGGCCAATAAATAGCATGGAACCTGAAAGTCAAAAAAAATATATGTATGGCATTATGAACTGTACACAATCATAGGTAATCAAAGATTACCGTATAAACTCACCTATAAGTCAGACTTATAGTGGGAGTTAAAATTTGGTCCAAAACTCTATGTCCAACTTATAGGCGAGATGTAAAAAGATTTGTATTTTAGAAGGTCAATCTTTCTAATATAAGCTTCAAAAATACAACCGACTTATAGGTGAGTTTAATATACGGTATATTGCTCAACTCAGTGAATCTTGTATTTAAACAAGCCAAGGTCTGAACTTTAACCTGGGACACTGACACTGAGGGTATTCCATAAACTCCCCAACTTCTTTAAGGTGAGCAACAATTGTGTTCATGAAATAAAAATATTTATGATTGTTCATAAAATGTATGGTGTTTTGAGAATAAAAGACAAATTCACAACAAACTGGAACACATCAAATCCTACTAAATACACTAGCTATAGTAAAACATAACAGAATACACTGTAGTACAATACAGAAATCCCTACTTGAGTATATCCTGGCCCACTATCTGGTAGTCTGGTGGCCAGCTCTGCAGGGAACCAGGGTATCCCACTACTGTCAGGTAGTTCATCAGGGCATCCAACCACACATAAATCTAAAAATAAACCAGAATTGACAGAAACAATCCACAGGAAATATATATTGTTAGAAAGAGCACATTTTCAGTATGTTTCATTTGCATAATGGTAAATTTCTTGTGCAAGTATGACTTCTTGTGAAATCTTTACTCTTCAATACAATGTCTTTTCTTCTAATCACTTTACAAGCATTAACTTTTCAAAGAAAAATGCAATAAAATTCACATTTCTTGATGAATACATGCAGTGTTTAACATCTAGATCCAAATTCTAAGAAGAGCAAATGATATTGGAAGAAAATGAATAACAAGATAAAAAAAAATTCTCCTGGTAAAAAAATACACAAATGTAAGTCAATTTGTCATGCAATTTCATGATCAGAGACCTTAACAGAAGGAAATTTCAAGGTAGACATTATTTCTACTGCCTGAATTAAGTCTTTAGGGAGAGCAACCAGCACATTAACTGTAATTTCTAAGAACAACTTACGGTTTGAGAGGAGTCCCCAGGGACAGGAATTCCCCAGGATAACCTGGAGCTGCTCCGAGACACAGACAAATCGTATAGATTCCTCAGAGCTAAGTCTACCTGGGATCTCTTCTCTTCTGGGTATATCACTACAGAGAAACATAGCACACAAGGATCATGTCAATCATGTTTATCATTATATACAGTCAAACCTTGTTATTTATTCAATTCAATGGTACGTAGTTTAAAACTTTGAGATTTACTGAGGAATGAAGATATTAAGATTAAATTACATAAGAACAAAAGGCCTAACACTGAGTGAATCAGGTGACCTACAAAATGTGGCACCTTCAATTCACTTTGTTATAGTCTTGAGATTTGAGATATCATTGTTTGAGATGTCAAAGTTTGACTGTATTTCAATTTATTCTATCTCATACTATTATAGTTCATCGAGCTACAAGGCTATGTTCTTTACTAATTACACAAGTTAATGTGGGTACCTCCAGTGTTGAGCCAGTCAATCAGCTGTTTCTTGAAGTCGGTCAGTCTAAACATGTAGTTTTCCTCGGACATCCACACCACTGGATGCCCACTGATGACCGACACCTGTCATTTAGAAATAATTAGATTCTTAAAAATAATTTTCCAATGGAATAACTTTCTCACAGTAAAAAGGAAACTGAAAGCCAACAATATAAAAATAGACTTGTATAGAAGCCAAAAATCCCAAAAGTACAAAAAAAATACTGATTTCAAATGTATGGATGATATCTTTTGTGAAAATGGGTCAATCAAATATCACACTTTCAAACAGGAATCAGTATAAGGGGAAAAGTGAAAAATAATGGATCCGTACAAAACATTGTGCACCAAAACCTGTGCATTGCATGCCAATAAAATTTCAGGGCAGTGGTAAAGAATTCTTGGGGAAAAAAAATCCTGCATGTAATTCAAGAAATCTGAATCCAAGCTGAATGTAGCATTGTGATAAGTGTTTTGATATACACATTCAATGAATTATCCTCAATTTTACCTATATATTCCAATCCTTACTGATGCATGTACATATTTATGCCAATCTTGTTTCTGTACCTTCTGGTTTTCCCCGGACTCCATTTTCTGATCACAGACCTCCTCTTCACTTAGGAATTCCTCGTCTGATATCGAGTACCAGCCTTCATACTTCCCTTTATAGATGAAGCCTTTCTTTACTAGTGTTGTCTACAAAATAGCCATTCTTCTATCTTCATTTACAAAGTATTTGGTGAACATAAATATTTTACAATGATCCAGTAGCAAGTGCTCCTATTTTGTAAAACTGGTAATAAAACTTTTTGATTCTTTGATATTTTTTTTGAAAATATAAGGATTAAAACTTGTTTCTTGCATTAAACTGAATACGTTTATTTCGTAACTTCATGTGTATTAGTGTTCATTCTGCTTTATTTCATTATCTAAACATGTAGGTGGGAAATGGAACCTTTACATAAAATAAACAAAAGTGCAAATCATGACTAGCTTCAAACTTATCACTCTCTCTTCAAACTATTTTATACAGTATACATGTATATAGAATATCAAACAGTGTGTGTATTATATCTTTTAAAACTGAGAGATATATGTCTGATATATAAATGATATAAATATACATATATTTCTTTGCACTGAATTGAAAAAATTTCACAAAGAAATATGTTGGTATCAATAGAAAGGCCTTGTCGCTAGGAAAACACATGAAATCTGAGAGCCATAGCTTGAACCACTCAAAAGTAATGGGCTTTGTTAAAGCTTTTGCGGACAAACAGACAGACAAAAGGACAGGGTAAAAACTGTATGCCCCAAATTTTCAATTACAAGGCTAAAAAATATAAAAAATAAATAAAACTTTATCCAAATTGCTTATTACCTTTTCTCTCCTTTCATATAATAACATGATTAATGTCATTTCAGTTACTTTATTAACAACATAAAAATTTTGCTTGACCATGGGATGCTTACCCATAAATTTTCAACAGCTTTTTGGTGTGTTTCATCTGTTGTTCTTATGAAATGACTGTATGATACACCTGCCCTGTCAAACAATGCCTGGAATACAATATAAAAAAAGTTTCCAGCTGTTTTTAAAATCTATTTACCTTCAACTTTGCTTTCAATTTACCAAAAGTACAGTGTAAATATATGCAGATCAACATTTTCAAGGTGGCATATTTTGCCTTGTTTATGTACTGAATTAGCCTATACATGTACACTTATATATTTGAAGAGTTCAATAATTTTTTTTTCATTTTTTAGTCTACATATGACAACTCTGACATTATTTTAAGCTTCCACACTTAGAATCTCAATATTACATGCATCTTATCACCATAGACATATCTGTTGTCAATATTCATAAGGTTACTCCTATAAGATGCAAAAAATAAAGATTGCATGTTCTTGTACTTGTTGCTTGCTGAAATTTATACCTTGAATTTGCCAGATATTTCATCACAATACAACCTTGGAGTTTTATTGTGTTTATCTGCAGAAGTCTGAATCTGAAATCATAAAATACAATATATATTATGTTAAATTTATAACAGGTATGTAAAATAAAAAAAACATAAATACCCCATAAATAAAATTCTAATAAGACATATCTTAAACTGAACAGTCGAACCTTCAGTCCATGTTCATCAGTTCCAGTTGAAAATATAACTTCCTTTTCATGAAGTCTGTGAAACCTGGCCATTGCATCTGCTAGCAGCGCTGTATAAAGGTGTCCTATGTGGGGTGCTGAAGCAAGAAAAAAAATCATATTTAGTATAGTTTATATCACAGGTCCGTGAATTTCTATCAATAAGCCATTATGATTGATCAGCCTGTTATTGATAGAAATTCAGGGGCCTGTGTTTATATACATATGTTTGAAATTGCATTATCAATTAAATCAGGTAAAATCATCTGATTTAAATTATATTTGGCATATATTTCATAACGTAAACACTATGTAATATACCAGCGTTAACATAAAAGATAGGTGTTGTTATGTACACCTTCTCGTTTGCACCAGGTTGTGGACCAGGATTTGTGCAATATGATTTTGTAAAAGGAAAAATTTGATAATTATTTGAATATATCTGCAGCCACTCTATTCCACTTCTATTCGAACGCATCCATTTTCGCATAAAACATGATTTTCTCCAAATTCGTGTGATTTTTCTCAAGGGCGCAGACATCTTTGATTGAAATAATTTGAATGTCGATCCCGATATCGCATAAACCACAACAACAGTAGTTGTAGATTTATTCAGGTAAAAAAATCAATGTATGATACAGGGTGGTACAAATATGAATAATGCATAAAATGAAAAACCTAATCACAGTAATAAAATTTCAAAAATAAATATAAACTTCTAAATACAGGTGTCCTTTTCCGAATGTTTAAAATATAAAGCAATTTATGACATTTATAAATTTTAAATTGAATAAAAATATATGCATTATAATCATCGTGATATCATGACATTAATTAATAAACCTAAGGATAACCCATGAAAGCAAAATTGCTTATTTCCGATTGAAAATCCAGATGTTAATCGTTAAAAAGATATTGTCCCTTGGTCCTGAGACACAGTTAGATTATTATTACTTTCAGTTACTGTGACTGGGAGGGTGCATAATTTTAAAAGTAAAATTAGCCGGAAAATATTAAACCTTATATACTGTATATAGGGACCTATATCTTTACTGTTATTTCATACACTATATTCAAAATTGATACCATAAAACTGTACTTCTATGTATTTCCGTGAGAAAAGACTATTCCCCTCACCTGAGGACTACTCCCTAGAGTGGTACAGTGGTATTGAAAACCAGACCTCATCCATTATTGATGCTATTTCAAAAAATATGCAAAAAAAAAAAACAAAAAAAAAAAAGAACAGAAAAGAAAAGAAAAAAAGAAGAAAGAAAGGGAAAAAAGAAATAAAAAAAACCAACAAACACAGATTCATTACAAGAAGAATATGTTGGTGTAATCGCATTTACACCAAGGAAAAGTAAACTTTATCCTGAAGTTTGAACAGTATCAGATCCATTTAAAATCTTTTTAAAAAACATGTTATCAGATGCACGTATGACGAGTTAATTCGTACCATCTCCCACAACTTGAGTTGTTCAAGCAAATTCAGACAAAATTTAATAGTAGAACTAAAATGCAAACTTTTAGAGGTCCAATATGAACTCATCCACATAAAAAGTGGTACTTTGTCGGAATCTACTGCAAGATACAATTCACGGTAAAACAGGAGGAACCAGTTTGTCTGATAAAGAGTAAATTCCACCATCTGTCATACTCTTGGGGACTTCCAATGTTCGAAATATCAATGAAAGAGTCCTAACGTCAGCTGTTTCCACTACATAATACTACTATATTGCTTACACAATTGCCCAGTCCTGCAGAGTGATCGCAACAAAGAGATCGCTTCCATGGATTCCCAAGAGGTCGTGGTGCTCACAAGAAATGGTCAGCTCTAATTTGCTAATACTTGTAAAAAAAATTTATGTAAGAATTGCATGAACTGCTGTATTTACAAGAAATGGTATTCATGCTAGTACTTTAGTTATGTAATATATACTTATAGTATAGTAGCTCTATACTTTAGATGCATAGTCGTCGGAAGCAACTAAACCAGCAAAAAAGGTAACCCCCAATTTTCAATGCCTATATTATGTCTATTTTTGCCAAAAAATGGGGGGGCTCCCCTACCCCCCCCCCCCCCCGGTTCCGACGCCTATGAGATGTATAAAATAAATTGTACTTGAGTTCCGTGCAAACCTGCAATCTGAATGCATGTAAAGAAATTAAAAGTTAGGATTTTGAATGTTGGAGGCTTCATTAACATAGCCGAGCCCGAGGGAAACAAATTTGAAAAACCATTATTGTTCCAAAGATCAATATTTAATTTTTTTCGTAGTTGAAACACATTTTGGATATGATATACACCCGGTGAATAAGTCAATTCTGAGAAAATATGAAACCGCCATTTTGCAGAGCGGCCGAAATCACTGATGCTCATAACTAATGCAAAATAATGATTTTCTATACTTATTTTGGTCTAGAATCATTGAACTACACACAGATTATCTATCTCAAATGTTTTTCACTAAATTATGATAATTATTGTTTTATGTAGGCGATAAATGAGTCAGTTTTGAGAGAGTTTGAAACCACCATTTTGAAAAGCGACACAAATCAACGATGCTCATATTAACTAATTCAAAATAATTTTCTATACTTTTTTTTGGTGCAATATTATTGAATTACACGAAGATTACCTATATTTCAAATGAAACCGCTGACGAATTTCACTTTATAATTCATTAACAGAATCAGGTCTGAGAAATTTTGAAAACCGACCGAACGTACGTTAATTAAATTAGAGAAAATACGAAAGAAATATTCTTCCCCCCCCCCCCCCCCCCCCACGAAATAGGATTTTCGAGTTTCGGCAATTTCCTTTTTTTTTTTTGCTTGTCAACTTTTTCAGGTAAGTAATTTTTTTTTCTCTGGCTGGCCCCCACTTTCAATCAAATTACTCAGAAGTACAGAGAGCCGGGCTCATTTACAGAGTAGAATGGATTTCTTACATGAATCACATTTATATTCTGATTAAAAATTATTTTAAAACTATCAATATAAATGATAAGACACTGACAGTGAATTTTTCAATCCTAATACCACGGTCCGATTTTGTCAAAATCAGAATTTAATCTGGTACCGCGGCTGAATGTAAACAAACAGGCCAGTCTGGTTCCCTCTCCTGCTTTACCTCGTATGTGTAGAGAACTACGGTAACACTGATTATCAAAAATCCGTACGCTAATGAACTATGTTCTTTGACTTATGAAGTTTTCAAAGTCATTACTACTAATGTTTATTTTATATAGATAAAACTTCGTTTTATTTTTGTTGCTTTATTTAGCGTTTGTATTATCTCAAAAGCGGTTGAGAGTAAGAACTATATTTTTGCACGTAACTTTAAAATGGCGACTATGGGGTCAACATCCTGCCTTGAACAGGATCACATAAGCCGGCAATTGCTCTTTGAGCAATAAGCCCGGCTAAAAACGATGCTACGTGGCTGTTTTGATGAAAAGTCTTGGCATCAATTAAAATTTCAAAGACGTTGCGTATATGACCTTAACTGTTAAAGCGACTAAAATCCCCGGGCATGCAGAAACCAGTGATTAACTTCAAAGTCAATGAAATTGAAATCAGTGTATCCAACAAGACTCAACTGAAAAATTAATAAATTGATAAAGCTAGCATATCGTCAGAAAGAGAAGACAAAACCACTAATAATGCAGAGTAGTTTTTCTAAATTTTGGAAATTCGAAATTATCCTAGGTTTTTATTTAAGATAAGGATCCCGCGTTAGGTTACATGTACACCATTTGATTACATTAGAAAACAGAACCAATGTTTAATACATACAAACAGCTCATTTATGGAAATATCCACAATAAGATAAACAATTCTGCGTATGTAAATCATTGATAGGATCCGCCACTTTCTTCTCTCTGGTGAACAAAACTCAGAAGTCACGTGATTCTTGTGTCATTAAATTAGAATACAGAGCAAAGCCAACGCTAGAAGTTTTGTGAACTGAAAAAGGTGAGATGTTCAGCAGCTTTTACGGGTGAAAATGTAAGAAAACTTATGTATGCGTATGATTTTCAGTTGTTAATCGTAAAATCTAAACAGCATTAGGATTCACGGGATTCTTTTCAGAGTCAATCAAGCGATTTGCTGGACTGGGAAGAAAAGAACACAAACGGACCACCAAATTAGTCAGAGCAAACGGTGAGTACTTAGTATGCTATCTTCTACTAAGTTTGTTGACAAACATTAAAATGTGTAGTATCTGATGATTGTGTTAAAAATTCTTTTGATCTTCTAGTTCTTTCGTGGATCACGCCGTTTTTGCTCATGATCATTCTTTAAACAAAACAAAATCGTTTCATACGATTTCCTCTCTGTAAAATCGCAAATAAAATTCTTTATTTTAAGAATATTTAGTTTTTTTTTCTTTTATATTCCCGCCCGTTCCCACTTGATCGCTTCCACGATGATTGATAAAAAACAATGCAATGTTACAAAATTAAAATCATACTTATCCATGCCTCAACACACTCACTGCCACTCTGGGTAGTGGACAGTTACTCTAATGATATAAATTCTCTTTTTGCTTAAACAGGTCCAGTCCAAAGACTATTTCTACCTACGTAGCTATTAATAGCTACCTAGGTATTTAAAGCTACCAAAAGTAGCTATTTTTACCTACTTTATATAATTTCTGCATTTTGCGACCAAAAAACCAAACGGCGCAACATGGTAAATACCATATTTTTTGATATGGTCACACTTATGATGAATACGACAAAAATTTTGCCAAAAAATGATTACTTCCTGAATCGGCAATTTTACATTAGTTTCTATGCAAAATTGATAATATACGAAGTTTTCATTTTTTGGCCAAATTTTTGTCATATTCATCATCAGTGTGACTGTATCAAGAAATTGTGTGCTCACCATGTTGCGCCGTTCCTGCATTTGGCTACAAAATGCAAGTAAAGCAGAAAATAGGTAAAAATAGCTACTTTGGGTAGCTTTAAATACCTACGTAGCTATTAATACCTACGTAGGTAGAAATAGTCTTTGGACTGGACCTGTTAAAGTATTCAAAAGCTGCAATTGTTAGAACTATCTTTGATTTTGGTTGTTGTTTTGATAGCCCATAGTACATATATACATGTAAAGAGTTAAAACATGTCAAATACATGCGACTTTTTGTTTGTTTCTAGCAAAAAAACATTTTAGTGAAAAACTGTATATAAATAGCAGAATAAAGCTATTTTGAATAGCTTTATCTATCTCTCGATACTACTCGCCATCAAATTTTGAGTACTCTGAGTAGGGTGCGCAGCTGATTAAAAGATATAAAAAAGTAGAGAAAAGTAAATTTCAATGCGGTGAAGAGGGAACAGTATTAAGTTATTAGTGAAGATAAAAAGTTTAGAAAAACACTAAATATTCACAGTTAAAAGATATAAAAACACTATAATATAATTAAGGTCTGGGGTGATTTAGTATAAAGCTATATAGTTATTTAAAGCTATATAGCTAAATCAAGAGATTGTGCTGGACCTGATTTTTGTACTCCAACATACAAC